ATGAAAATAGCTATGATTTGTTATCACGCCTATGTAGCATCCATATTACGCTATGGGCTCACAATATGGGGTAACAGTACAGATTTTAATAGAGCTTTTGTTGCCCAAAAAAAATGTATTCGCGCAATATATGGTCTTTCACCTCAGGAGTCCTGCAGACAATGTTTAAAAAAAAAATGGCATTCTACCGCTGCCGTCGCTCTATGTCTTCGAAATCGGTATGTTTGTGCACAAACATATGTACCTATTTAAAAAAAATTGCGAAGTTTATCCACGCAATCGAAGGGACCCAAACAGACTTATTCTTGACGACATACCAAGATTAAAAAAATATAACAATAGTTGCATAGCAATGTGTGTAAAAATATTTAATAAACTACCTAATGAAATAAAAATAGCAAGTAGAAGATTGTTTAAAAAAAAGTTGTATGAATGGCTGAATGAAAATAACATTTACAATATCAAAGAATTCATTTAATAAAGAAGAGTGGTAAATTACTATTAGTTGTAATGACAATTGGAAGCATGTTTTGACGAATTAAAAGAAATAAACATAAATTTAAAAAACTATGACACGAACACGGCAAGGACGACAGAACAAAAAAATTTTATAATATGATTGTTATGATATTGTATTTAATTAATTATTGACAATTTATTATTTATTAACAAATTATTTTCATTTGAATATTTGCAATGTTTTGAATTTTTTATGCGATATGATTGTAGTGATATTTTAAATTCTAAAAACTTTTGACATTTTATATATTTATTTGTATTTTAACACCAGAACATCGTTATTATAACACTATTTGTATGGTTATGTAAAGTATTTGATATAGTTTTATATTAGACTCCTTAGAGTATGATAATGGAAATGACATTTGTAGCTACTGGGACAAAATTTTTTTTTTTTTTTTTAAATTGATTCTATTGTTTATTCTTTTTTGATATTGATGTCAAATACTATTACTATGTTTTTTTAACTTAATGACTGCATGGCAATCCAATTGCTAAAGCTAAATTTGCATGCTGTTAAACAGCTAAATAGGTTAAAGCGACAGACATGTACTTAAACATCTTTGTAACCCTATTTATGGCAAATAAATATTTGAATATGAATTTGAATTTGACGCGACGTTACGATATATCCTATATATATAATATCGCAATTCACAGTACGAGACATGATTTGAAGGAGTCACAAGTGAGCCCGATAGAACCTTAAGTGCTGAAAAGATATTATTATAATAAACAATGGAAAATCCCCTATGTCAGTTGCCTACTTCGACGTTAAACTGTATCTCGTCTGACGCAAGTCGTCCCGGAGAAATGGAGCGAGAAAATGTACGCGACTTGACGCATTCATTAAATTTGTTTACTGTCTCATCTATTTACCTGTTATGTCTCATAATGTTTATAATTTACCGCATAAACACAATGTGTTTTTTATATATCTCATTTTTTTTCATGCGTTTTTTAAGTTTCTCATTTTAAAGTAAAAAACCAAAAACCCTCGGAAAGAAACATCAACTCTTTTCAATAATGATTCGTGAGACTATTGATATTAAAAACAATATGTTAATTACAACAGAAATTGATGTGACTTTACCAGCAAGATATCCAATAATTTGTAATATTATATCCAAACACACTTATACTGTAAGACTATATAGTAAATGATATAAGCTTATGAGCTTACATCATCTTCTATATAGAAAAAAGTCGTTCAAAGTGGTGATATTTAACGAGATTTTTTAAGTGCGTTCAAAAATGAAATTATAAAATATAAGGTAAGTGGACAGTGGGTGATAAGTGGGTGACGCCCATTCACGGTCTTCTGTGAGGTCGTGGTACTTACCCGGACGGATCTGTCCATAGTGCAACAGAGAATAATACTGTTGTACCTAATCTACCAAAATAGGTCATATAGTAAAATATTATATATAATATTCGGAAAATTTTGTATCTTAGTACCTACTATATTACGGATAGCTTTACTACTACATAACTACATACTATATTTACTACTACATACTATATTGCGGACAGCTATATAAATGTCTCCTAGTTACATGCTGTTGATTACCTAAAAATCCATAAAAGAAAAAAATTATTCGTAACTGCTATTTATTTGGAATCATTTGTTTGTCTACTTCAAATCAATAGGATATTTTTCCCTGTACTATCTTTATTTATTTGTATATTCTATTTATTTGTAGGACCAAGAATGTTTAGACTTTTTCATAAACATGCGTGTACTTAAAACAGTACAATTTCACCATGCCAGATTTTTTATATGTTTTTCAATTGTTACCTGTACCTTTGTGTGCATATAGGATAGGGGTAAAGCTGGTAGTATTAGCCAAGTACAAAGCGGGCAACAGCCCACTATACCTCGGAAAAGCGAACAGTCAGTTGAAAATATTTCCACATACAGCAACAGAGCCTAGTTACAATGTTCCATTTCAAAGGACTCTTTAAAATATATGCTTTTGTATGAATATAATGAGAAGTATTCTTTATTTGTACGTAGGTTCTGAATTACACAATATTAAGTACACTTTGTAAATTGATATTTATAACATTTCCTTTTTTAAGTTTTAACATTGATTGCAAGTACAGTAAAATACTTTAGCTGTTTTATCACGTCACTTTTTAATTGCCTAACCATTACCATACAGATATTAAAGTATTATTTAATTTTGTTAAATCAAAAACTTAAAAAATATTTTTAATAGCTTCGTTCGAAAAGGTCCCTGGGTAAACGAGCCGCAGACAGGCCCAATAGTAACAACAAAAAGTTGTTGGGGTACAACAATAACACGACGTATCTGTCCATTCCGCTGCATCTCCGCGACCCCTGTCAACGAAGGATGGACGATGTATTTTGATATCTTCGAAATTAATGATTTTTTGTACATAACATTTAAAATTACATTTTATTTATACAGTCAGCATGAAATTTGTTAAATGAATTTATGTAGATATGAAGTGATTTTAATATATGTCGGAGATAGGTGGATTACACAGGAAAACTCGTTGTCAGATCCCTTATTATAATTTACTTGTTCGATTAAAATCAACAATAACGAAAATAATTATTAACCACACTGATGTAATTGAATGGAAACGTAGCAAGTTGGATACAGGAAGATGACCGTTCGCTCCACCGTCCCTTTTCTAAGCGGCGTGCCTGAGCATATCCAGAACACACCCCCGTGTCCGACGTCAATTGACTTCCACAGCTCATAACCGTCAAGTCCGCTCTCTCACTTCTTGTATCGACCTTACTCAAGCGCAGTACTTGACGTTTCTGAGAGATACCAATAGATGGTGTTGTAATCTAATTATAGCGCCACATCGTGAACCGACATATTATATATATTGTCGATGAACTAAATAAAATCACGTGATCTTATTTTTCTTGTATATGTACATTGCGTATCTGGTTATAGAGGCTACTTTACTCGACTGCTTTTAGTCTTATCGTCAGTGTGACCATTTTTGGCAGATTTCTGCCATTTGGGCAGATTTTGCGTGTAAATTTTAGCTGTGACGGATTAGGCTTACGATTCAAAAAGTGGCAGAAGTTGGCAGATAAAAATAATAAAGATTTCAAGGAAAACTTTATTATTTTTGAAGTACATATAAATTAATATTTGTATTTAGAATATTCTGTCTTATTATTTACTTTTATTATTATTTGATAGCAAATTATTTTCTGATGTACCATTTTTCGTCCCATGCTATATAGTACGGGGATTTCCCGATTATTGCGTTTTCATTTAGGTATGTCACTTGATTATGAACGGTAACAAATCAGCAATACGGTTTACTTTGTTATTAAAATAACTCGGATCGGGGTTCGTGTCAATGTTTGTTGCATTTTATAATTTTCTAACATTCTATACCTCATTCTCTTATAGCAATTAATGTGTGTAGTGCACCATGCATGATGAAGAGAAAATACGAGCGTTCGTACCGACCTGAGTGGGAACAAGATCCTTTGCTTTCTTCCTGGATTTCCGAAGCTAAGGAGAATTGTAAACTATTCATAACCACATCAAAGATTGCAGTTGTTACGAAAAATTATTCTAAAAGCGATTTTTAAGGTAAAAACAAAATTTTTAACTTACTTTTTAAATATTTAAGACTTTGCAAAAGCTTTTTTATGTTAAATGGGGAAAATACAGGGTAAGAGACCTAAAGGCCGAAATCCGAAAAAGCGCCGCTCTCCACCAGGTGATAGAGCAAAACCGATGGAGACAGCTCGTTGACAATTGAATATGAGACACGATCCTCAGCAGTGAGAGGACAACCAAGAAGAAGTTATCAAATGCCTCATGGGAATAATTATACTGGATTGTCTCCAAGGATACAATACTATAATGTCATATTTTGGACTTGAGGCTAGGCTTTGAGCTAGCACGCTTATCATCCACGGCTGCATCATCGCCACTTACCATCAGGTGGGATGGCAGTCAAGCGCTAGTCAGTTCCATATATTAAAAAAAGTTTGCAAGACTAGCAGATTTTTATTTGTTAATGTCGGGCAGATTCACTATTTTTGAGATGTTCACCCTGCTCGTCGTCAATGTGTCAAATCTGTCAAGTTCATGGAAATGGAAGTACTGAGTACATGCAATATTGCATAGGTTATGTGACATGACAAATAAGACCAAAGCAAGAAGCAAAAGTTAACCAAAAAGCAACTCTAAGAAAATACTGCTAAGTAATAAAGCGTGATAGCTTCCTAAAAACTAGAAACTGGAGAAAAGTGGGACAACCGTTCAACACGTATAAATTAATGTTGACGATAGGCCTAGCACCGTTATGTCCTACTCCGCAATTACTTTCAAACTACATTTTGCTTTGCTCTATTATCAAGAATTGACGTAGCTTTTGTATCACAATGTTAAATATTTTAGATTTGATTTTTCTGAGTCTAGCTTTCGTTGTGACATTCACGGGCTTTTTGATAAATAATTTTGAAAAACATGTACCGGTATTCATCATTAAAGGGTACCGGTACGGTAGTTTCGCGTATCAGGGCTCTGGAGCTAATTATTTACAAGCAATAGAACTACCAAAGGCATTCTACCGGCACTTCTATTTGTTCTCTTCAGTATTCAATGTTATAACTTTAGCGTATGCTGTATTAGTGTACTTTTTCAATTACAATGTTAGCTCTGTCATTGTCCTCATCCTTAGATTATTTTTGGAACAGGATGAGCCAGCAAGTAAGTTTGTCCATTAAATAAAAAATAATATATATTAAATAAAGTATATTTTTTTATTTAAAAACTGAATATGAAAATATGAAATATTTTCTTCGCTATACGCTTTACTATTTTTATTAACACAGTAAAGTTTAGTTTTATATTTAATTTTTATATGCCATTTAGATGGATTTGATGTTTTTAAATGTTGAATAAGTAAACATTTATAATTTTTTTTTAAAAATGCCTCTTGTAAATTTGCTTACTTACCAATTTAAACATTTAATATCACACATATAACTAAGTTAAAAAATGATAATTTATAGACTGCACATAGTCCTATTAGGACCATGTATAATTATTAATTAAAAATTACCTTTGTTCTAAAATCCTAATTAAGATTGATCATGAGATTTTTTTGTTTTTATTTTTGTTATTCAGTTTATTAAGCGCCTAAATATATAGGCTGCAATTTATATGTAATTTCAAAGGACAGGTCTCTAAATCGAGCCAGTTTTGCACTGAGATGATATACTTACCAAAACTATCAAAGAAATAACTCATATCATCCAGTTTGAATAGCAATATCCTTTAATTTTTAGAAACTGCCCTAAACAATATACCAACAAGGATATGAATGAATTTTACAAATTCCTTAAATTTGACATTTTTTTAATGTAATTATTCAGTTATAAACATTTAGAAATTCAATGGAACTCATTCTGTACCATAAAATATCTTCTCTGGTTTCTTTTACTTTTTTAGTTAACTTAGTTTACTGTTGCACAAACTGGTTTTCTTCAATATCTAATTTTATGTTCACGATTTTTGTATATCACTCTTTTAAGATACATAAGTACAAAGTAAAATTGAAATGTTATCAATTCATTATACAAGCTATGTAAAAAAATTAATTATTTTCAATAGCTTATCTGAACAACTCTATATAACTCAACAAATTTCAGTAAGTGCAACAGCCGCAGTCACAGCAATCACTCTGCTCACTATCCAGTGCATAAGAAGATGCTACGAGACTTACTGTCTTCAGGTTTTTGCTAAATCCAGCAAAATGAACCTGAGCCACTATCTAGTTGGTATAGGACATTATTTTGCATGCATTGTTGCCACGATTGGACAGGCTCCATTGTTTTGTGGTAAGTCTATATCTACACACTGGATATTAAGTATGATGATGATATTTTGAAAAAATATCATGGACAAATTTTGTATGCACATTTAAGAATTCATACTTCATATTCTCGCCATTTCGCAACGTCTGCAGAAAAGCTTCCTCCGTTGCTTCAATAATCATAAGACAAAAACTGTATTCCATACTCCTGATTAATGAAAGCAAACAAGTACTTACGGAAAAAACATATAAGGTGCATTCAGCAAAATCCGTAAATCGGAATTTGGAATTAGCCGAATGCACCTTAGTTAAATTTATGTATAAAATATTGCTAATTTTGAAGAAGCTTGTAATGGATTAAAATTAATTTATTAATAATTTTCAAGGAAATGTTATATGAGTATATACTTCTCTATATCTTGTCCTTTGTAACAGACTTCCTAGTTATAAATATGCGGAATAGTAATTGTTCCGTTCCAGAGCCTGTGACAAGAATACAAATAAATCACTTGATCTTAGTATTACTATGTGACATACATTAAAAAACTAAAGCAAACACTGCTGATGTTTTTAATAATGCACGAAATGTTCATAAATCACGAAATATAATCATAAAAAATAATTTAAGATAGAGATAAAATTTACTTAAGACTACATTATGGTGATGATCTTTTTATTGATTGTAGGGAAACATTAGGTAGTAGACATTGTTTGTAATGAAAACTACAAATTTAACTCTGTGGCCCATGTGCTAGCCTCTAGTCCATGACTGCTATTAACTTATTGCTGTAGATATTAAATTTATTATAAAAATATTATATAAAAAGTTATATATCATAGTTTTTTTACTATACATCATGAATTTTGGATGTTGTTCAAAATCCATTCTTCCATCGATTCTTGCATGAAAAATGTCACCATGTTCAAGTAATGTTAATCAAGTAATGTTGGAGGTCATGGATTTCTCATTTTTGATTTCAGGCACTCAGAACAGAGATAAGGTCCTATGGATAGACACGCGTACCACTTTGCTAGCAATACCTTGTATCGTGTCCTTCTCCTGTGCCTTCTACGAACAATACAAGACTAACCTGATCTTTGCGAACCTACGCAGAGATAAAAAGACAGGTGCCGTTGTCACTGAAGAACATCTGGTGCCTCATGGACGTCTTTTTGAGCTGGTCTCGAGTCCCCACAGACTGTGTGAGATAATATTATACACAGCCCTAATCTTCCTGGTACCAACGAAGACATTCTTCTGCATCTACCTATGGGTTCTGAGCAATCAGGTAGTTTAGTCAGTTTTTTTTATTGCTTAATAGCTGCTGCCCGCGACTACGTCTACGTAGAATAGGCTAATACATAAAATATGTATACAAATTATAGCCTATGTCTTATTCTGATGTATAAGCTATATTGTTGTAAAGTTTCATTTAAATCCATTCAGTAGTATTTGCGTGAAAGAGTAACAAACATCCATCCATACATAAAAACTTTCGCCTTTATAATATTAGTAAAGATGTGTATTAGGATCACTGTCCCTAACTCTAAAAGTAGTAAAATTTAGTAGTAGTAAAAAATACCGCACTGGAAATATTCTTTTAACCTTCCTCTAACGTTATTACAGTATATCACCGGGTAGTAGATAATCGTTTGAAGTTTGTATTTAACTGTAACGCAATAATCTTCGCCGTTTTTAGTCTTATTATTTTATTAGTTGTGGTAGAAGCATGAAACAATGTTGACTATTGCACGAATGGGCGGGTCCGTCCGGGTTAGTACCACGGCCTTACAGAAGACCGGAAGTCTAAACCGTAAAGTCGAAGTGTCATACTTCTGCGTTTCGTCTGGTGAGTGAGGTAGCCCACTTTATTAAAAGGTGACAATGCATCTGCAATTTTACGGGTGTTGAAAATGTCCATGGGCGGCGGTTATCATTTAACAACAGGTAAACCACCAGCTTGTTTGTCACATTAAAAAAAAATACATACATACAGTATAGTTGCAACAAATATTCTTATCCGACTTTGGGATTTTAACTTGCGACTCTAAATGTAGAGCCACCACGGCTATCATAAAAATTCTAGGAATCTTGAAATGAAATCGATGGTTTTGATTGGAAGGGAAACAATGTAGCGTTATGATGTTCGCTTTTCAACCAGGAGTGTTTGGAACAGAACTGATTCTTTTATAACCACTGAAAATAAACTTCTAGATCCAGACTGCGATCCAGGCACATGAGTGGTACAAGAAATCTTTCAAAGGCTACCCTAGCAACCGATTTGCAGTGTTCCCTGGTATTTTGTAAATTGAATTTGTTCAATAACTGTACAAAAGAGGCGTATAAATTAGCTTAATTGAAATATATTAGGAGGAATATTAATTTCGTTAAGAAAAGAACTGAATTTATACTATAGCAATGTAAAGATGTAAAATTAAATTTTTTACTGCTTTTAGTTCTGTTACTATTTTAAATGTTATTACGAATTACGTTATGTATGAAATGCTGTATATAAATGCTTGCTTTACATAACGTGATAAAAAATTATCATTGACATATCACTTGTATCATTGATTAAATATACATTTATTAATACTAATTATTAAAAAATATTTAAAATCAGCATGTTTTTATTTTATTTTATATCAAAAAGTACTTCTTGCCAAACAATTATGAAAATAATATAAAAATAAACAATAACTGTATTGTGGTACAATAATTGTAGATGTAATCATAGTTTCATAACATGTGATAGGATTTTGGAGTATTGCATGAACGGGAAGGCATCCATCCAAAGCACCACAGAGAAATGACATATTAATGAACTATGTATATAATAAAGAAATGTACAATTCAATTTCCAAGTCGCACATCTACATCACAGTGAACAGAGAAAGCCAGCCATAATTGAGCTAGCTAGTACTTCCGTATTATCATGTTAGAAAGATTACAGATAAAATGGATTATATCTTGAACTATGGTTCCATTAAAACATATTTAAAGTGTCCGAAGATTAATGAGGTCCTACCATATATGTCAAGTAAACATACATCCACAAGATCAATGAGTGTACAAATTGAAAATTGAATGTTGTCTCTTATGTAGGGTAAACAAACAGATCTGTAATAACTCAATCACAAATCGAACCATTCTACTTCTTTCTTATTCTTGTGTGCCCCAACCATTCTACTTCTTTCTTGTTCTTGTGTACCCCAACCATTCTTCTACTGTGTAGATTAGAATAAATAAATTATTCATAGTTATTGGTAGCCAGGACTAACTATGACATTTTGGACGAAAAAACATTTTAGTGACCATGGATCTTGTAAAGAATTAAACATTGGGAATGCAGATAAATCTTAAGTAAGAAACTACAATTTTAGTGTAAGATAAACATACTCTATGTTATTTATCTGTTGCAATAGGAACACAAATAAGATTTGAATTAAAAGTTTAATAAAACTTTTCGACACATTTCTGCTAAATTTTGCCTTTAATTTAATTGATATTGTTTAAATTTATATTTTGGCATTCAAATTGTAACATAAATTTTAATATGAATTTTAATACATGGAATATTATACAATTATACTATGTACCTACAATTATTTCTTGTATTTACCGTACCTATATCATATTTTGTGACTTGCTTTCATTGACATTGACTGTAAAAATTTGGCCTACCAGTTGCATCGTTTTTAGAATAGATTTTCCCTTTATTTGCTCGAGAAAGTTTAATTGATAGGTAGGGTTTAAAATAGTAATTCGTTGAGATAACATTTTTACGGCAAAATTATGGTTACAAATTACTATTTTTACCAGTAAGAAAGTTGTAGGCGTTTGCATATTCACAAAAAGTTCAATGTAATTAAGATGCTTATTAATTTTTTAATATCGTTTATTTCTATATTTTGTCCCTAATCTGTGATGGAGAGAAAACAATATTGACAAAAGGGAAATAATAATCTGTTATTTTTTAGGATAAAGTTTGTATTGATAGTCTCTGCACTCAAAATGCTTTTATTTAATAAATAAACAAAAGTAGCCACTCGCTTAAAATTGATAAATCGTTTTCGCGACCCGGAAGATGCAGGTTTTTGTGTCATTTATCCACAAAAAATAATTATTTAAACTTTCCTATTATTACTCAATGAGTTAGATAATTTTAATTTTAATAGGTGGGTAATAAGTCATTGAAGTAAATACTAAAAGGATTTTTTGCGGAAATTTATAGTTTTCGAGAAATTAATTTTTTAAGTTTTATAGGTTAACTACTAGGAATCGTTTAGAACACTTGTTATTTGTTTCGTATTTCGGCCCAAAAAATTTACATATTTACATTCTAAAACATTAGAAAGAGACAACTTAATGATTATATCATCTTTTATATTTTTATATTGATTACTATTATTTTATTATTACTATTACATTACTATTATTTTTTATATTGATTTTATTGTTTATTATTTTTTTATATTGATGTCAAATACTATTACTATATTTTTTTTTACTTAATGACTGCATGGCAATTCAATTGCTAAAGCTAAATTTGCATGCTGTTAAACAGCTAAATAGGTTAAAGCGATAGACATGTACTTAAACATCTCTGTAAAGTAACCCTATTTATGGCAAATAAATATTTGAATTTAACGCATGTTATTTCAGACCGCAAAATTATTTTTGGCTTACGGTAAATCTTTGCCTTAAAAAAAAAAGAGACAAATAGAAAATATAACAGAGGTAAATTATATTTTAATCGTCTTTCAAGTTGATTAAGTTTTTTTATATCATCATTATGGTTGACAGCCCAATTGAGAGCAATCCGACTCGGACAGATTAACCTTCGTGATTATTTTTTTTATAATCACCCAGAAATAGAGCCCTACATATAAGGGCTAAGTAAGAGTAGATTAGAAAGAGCAGGGATAAACTATATGACCTATATGGTATTAAGTCATTATCTTTTGATCCTAACTTCCATGAATATGTTAGGAATTATTCAAAAAAAATTTAAAAGGGTCTGTACTTTAGCTAAAGCAGACTTTTGAGTAATAAAATTAAATTGTCTTCAAATAAAGTTAAAAGTACATGGAATGTAATAAATAAGGACTGGCAACAATAATAAAAAAAGGCAGATTTTAAATTAAAAGTTAATGACAAAGTTTTAAAAGAAAAATATAAAGTTGCAAAAGAGTTTCTTAATGTTTTCACAAATATACCTTGTGAAACTACGAGACATTTGCAACACTGTCCCACAGAGGCGGTAAATTATCTCGTTAAATATGTTAATATTTCTATTCCAGATTTTAAATTTTGTCATATAGGCCCAAATGATATTATTAAAACATTTAAAAATCTAAATAAAAGGAAAACAGAAGACTTATCAATATGGGCAATTGATCTTATAATCTATGACATTGCTTGCACATTAGCCCAAATATTTAATACATGTTTAGACAGTAGCAAATTCGCAAAGTTAATAAAATATAGTAAAGTTGTGCCAGTATATAAATCGGGTTCGAGAGATAATGCCTCTAATTAAAGTCCTATCTCTATGTTGCCGGCCTTAAGCAAAGTGTTTGAGAAAATAATGCTGGATCAAATGATAGTTCATTTTAACAAATATAAAATTTTAAACGAGCACCAATTTGGATTTACTAAAGGTAGATCTACAACTGATGCAGGGATAGAATCAGTTTCACATATCCTGCAGTCCTGGGAAAGCTTTCATGACACCATTGGTGTGTTCTGTGACCTTTCCAAGGCATTTGACTGTGTAGATCATACAATTCTAATCAGGAAATTGGAATATTATGGTATTCGAAATAGTGCCATTGACTTTGTTTCCTCATATCTTACTGACAGGGAACAAAAAGTAATCATAAATGGTATATTGTCAATGGGGTCAAAAGTAAAAATGGGCGTTCCTCAAGGATCGATCCTGGCCCTTTTCTGTTTTTAGTTTATATTAATGATTTGCCATATATAGTGGAAAAAAGGTCTCAAATTGTTTTGTTTGCGGATGACACTTCATTATTGTTTAAAGTTAAAAGGAAAGATGATGCACTGGAGTTAACTAAGAAATTGAGAGCTGCCGTCTTTGCCATACGCAAAATCAGGCAGCTAACTAACGAGGAAACAGCTAAATTAGTTTATTATGCTTATTTTCACAGCATAATGTCCTATGGTGTCTTACTTTGGGGTTCCGCATCCGGTTTAGACACAATATTTGTATTACAAAAGCAGGCTATACGGGCCGTCTATGGCTTGGGTCCACGTGAGTCGCTACGACATATATTTAAGCAAATAAACGTTTTAACGCTGCCGTCGCTTTACATACTTGAGAACGTCATGTATGTACGTAATAATATCCACCTATTTACGAAAAAACAATCCACATCGCGTCGGGGCGGTGGTGACACTCTGGAAGTACCGAGGTTTAGATTGGCTAAGTCGTTTCTTGGTAGATGCATCAACTTTTATAATAAAATAGGTGACATCCACAAACAACTAAGTATAAACAGTTTCAAACAATTTGTAAAAGCTACCTTAATGGCAAGGGCCTACTATAATGTCCAAGAATACATTGAGGACAAGGATGTTTGGAAATGACTCTTGCTCTGCACTTGCAAGACCCCTGGCCGCTGCTGATTTTATACCTAAATAAGTGTGTATGATTGCATAAAAGTGTATATATATATATATATATATATAACAAAAAGAACAAGACCGCAGAGTTTCTTGCCAGTTCTTCACTGTGCAGGTCTAGTTTAGTGAACCGGTGGTAGATTTTTTGTTGACGTTCAATAAGAGCTTAAGTTAGGCCTATATTGAATAAATATACTTTGACTTTGAACATTATTTATGTCTAGAATTTAATTAAAAAAAATGGATACACTTAGAAAAGCCTCCCTGTGATGCTTGGATGAATCCTGTGATGAATGGTAATGTTGTGGAGCAGAGGCTGCCCGCCAGCTGCGCGTTAAAGACCCATTTACACGGTGCCAGTTTCTTGCCTGTTGTATACAATTAAATTGAAGCAATAAATGAGTTGCATGGTCTAAACAACAAATGGTCTTAACAATTATTGCGCGCAATTTATTGCATTCAATTATTGCTCTTGTATGTACAAGAAAATGGCATCGTGTAAATGGGCCTTAACACTTCGCACCGCCCTCTTCTCTTGCCAGTTATTTACGTGCTACGACGCGGAGAGGTTGCCGCTTTGCCTCACGAACGCTTTGTTAACGCTGTTTACGTATGTTTAAGTAGTTTATGGTCAAATTGTGTTACGCCTTGCTTAT